TACTGATATACTGATATACTGATATACTGATATACTGATATACTGATTTACTGATATACTGATATACTGATATACTGATATACTGATATACTGATTTACTGATTTACTGATATACTGATATACTGATATACTAAATAACTGTTATACTGTTGTACTGATATACTGTCATACAGGAATACTGCCATATTGATTTACTAATGTACTGTTATACTGTTACACTGTTATACGGTTACACTGTCATACTGTTATACTGCTACACTGATATGCTACAGTTATTGAGGATTGAAGAATTTCGTTAGCCATAGACCTGATCATTAAAATCCAAAGCAGATCCATTCCGATAGTTGTTTTTACTCTGGCTGTAGACCAAAAAATTGTTAAATGCTCGCAGTGCAATTGCCCTCGCAGATGGCATAAAGATAGTTAAGTACCAAAGTCGGAGCGGCGTAAGTAATTAATGTGACTGGTAAAGTTGGGCTCGGCCAGCGAGCCAGTGGGTCGATGGGTCGATGGGTTGGTGGGTCGGTCGGTCGGTGGGTCGATGGGCTGCTGGTTTGGTGGGTCTCTGTCAGTTGGGCAGCACAACAATTTGTCAAATAATGATAATCTGAGGCTTGGTCAGCAGGAAAACAGAGTGTGACAAGTGGCGTCCATGTTGGCCACATGCTCAATACAATTTAATTGTGCAAGCGCAACCCAAACGCAGCACCACATGCTCCACTGCAACAGCCCAGACTCCACACACACACGCACACAAGAGAGAGAGAGAGAGGCGGGAGGGAGAGTGAGTGAGCGGAAAAAAAGACGCACTTAATTTCCACGAGTGAGCAAACCAACGGCCTCTAACGCACATAATTGTTTCTATGGAGGATGCTGTTGGTCCTGCCAGGAGCTGGCAGAGGACATGCGGCAGGCGAGGCTCGGCACCAGCCGGTGAACGATGCCAATTACACAAACCAATTACAGCAGCAGCTCGGCACATGCGGGCATGAGGCGCAATCCTAAAACACACACACGCACACACACACACACACAGATGGCACACACACGCACATTAATGGGCTGCATTCTTATTAAATTTGTTCATAATGTTCGTTGGCAAGTTTAAAGCTCCCGTTTGGCTCTTTGCAGTGCTCATCGATGGCGTGGACACGTCCGCCATGACGCGCGATCAGCTGGAGGCGTTCTCGCTGCGCCTCAAGGCCGAGATGGACCGGGAGCGCGAGGAGCGCAACTACTTCCAGTTGGAGCGCGACAAGATACGCACCTTCTGGGAGATCACGCGCCAGCAGCTGGGTAAGCAGCGAATATCGAATCGATATCACCCTCTCTATATAATCTGTGATCTACTTGCGCAGAGGAGGCCAAGTTCGAGCTGCAGCAGAAGGACAAGGAGATCGAGGCCACCCAGGATCTGGCGGACATCGATACCAAGCACATCATGCAGCAGATGAAGCATCTGCAGTTCGAGAACCACAGCAAGCTGGGCGAGGTGCGCGCCGAGGCGATGACCCAGCTGAAGGTCGCCCAGGAGCACCATGTGCAACAGGAGCTGGAGCTGCAGATGGACAAGCGTCAGCTGCGCCGCGTCGTGCGCGAACGCACCGAGATGAGCGACATGCAGCATCGCCAGCTGGAGTTGCACTTCAACCAGCAGCTGCTGTGAGTATCCAATGCATTGATGATTCAATGATCCACACATTCGAAATTCAAACATTCCCATCCCCATCCAGAGAGCAGCGTCTGCAGTTTGAGAGCGAGCGCAAGGACAACGATCGCCTGCACGACGAGAAGATGCGGGAGCAGCGCAACAAGCTCGAGCTGTTCTTCAACGCGCAGATGTTCGAGGTGGAGGAGCGCAAGAATCAGCAGATCAAGGACCTGCAGGACCATCACGATCTGGCATTCAACGACATGAAGAACTATTATAACGACATCACATTGAACAACCTGGCCCTGATTGGCAGCATGAAGGAGCAAATCGAGCAGCTGCGCCGCCAGACCGATCGCAGCGATCGCATCGCCGCCGAGGCAAGCAGTGAGAGTCGCCGGCTCAAGGAGCCGCTGGAGCACGCCAAGACCCATCTGAAGGAGCTGCAGCGCAAGCTGGAGTTCTACGAGCGCGACAAGCTGCAGCTGGCCCGCCTCAAAAAGAGCAACGTCATACTGGAGAAGAAGGTGAAGAACCTGATGTGGGAGTCGGAGACGCTGCTGCTGCGCAACGATGCTCTGGTCAACGAGCGGGCCAATCTGAAGGCGCGCTTCAACGAGGTCATCGTCGAGCTACAGCAGAAGACGGGCCTGAAGAACGTGCTGCTCGAGCGCAAGATTGCGGCTCTGCTGCGCGAGGACGAGAAGCGCAGGATCATTCTGCGCAGGACGATCGCCGCCTGCGCCGACGACTCCCCCGGTAAGCTGGAGAACGTGGAGAAGACCGTCAGCGATGTGATCGACGCCAAGAATCAGACCATCATCGATCTGCGCTACGAGGTGGCCAAGGCCTGGAAGGCCCACGACGATCTGCTCGAGACCTACGAGTGCAAGCTCAAGCAATACGGCATCCCAACCGACGAGCTCGGCTTCGAGCCAGTACGCGAACGGGCCACCAAGCAGCTCTACATCTGCGGACCCGCCGGCATTGTCACCGAGAACAAGTAAATGCCGAGACACGCCCACCAGCCCATACAGATCGATGATTGGATACCGCTTGAAGGCATCTAAAAGTTGCCAAACAGAAAAAAAAACAACAAAATATGGAGAATTGAGTTCAATTTTGTTTATTCAACTTTATGTCGTGTACAAGTATATATATATGTAAGTATATATACATGTATATTTATATATATATATATAGAGATGTTTATATATACATATAGATGTATATGTATACACACATATATATATATATATATATACATAAATATAGATATCTGTCTGGGCAGATATGCAAGTATATCAAAGAAAACGTATAAAAAAAGATAGTCGAAATTATATTGATAAATTCAAAAGAAAAGAATACATACATCGAAATATATAATACTAAGGCGTCCTCATATTGCCGTCAAGTTCTTCTAGATAGATACATATGTATGTATATGTAGTTGGATAGATAGATAGATACATTTTGAATGAATCGTCTTTAAGCCTATTGTATTTTAGTATTTAAATTAGTGAGTATATAGTATCGTATCGTATCGTATCGGATATTGCTTCAATCAATAAATTGGCGTTAACTGTATATGCGCATATATGTGCATACATACATGTACATGTACTTAACTGTATTTAGTGCTAACTAAAACATTATAACATTCGACATTTTACGTATGCTAAGTACTCGATTAACAGAATCAAATGACAGAGTGGCAAATACATGTTGTACAATACATTCATTGGGGGCTAAACTTAGAATAGATTCAGTTAAGGTGCAATTTGTTTATATTTCGTTTCGCTTTTGTTATTGTTTTACTCTTTTTTTTTGTTTTGTTTTGGATCCATTTGCTGAAAGTTTACAAAAATTTGCCTATATGTTTTGGTTTTTCTTTTCGTTCATTTTTGTTTTTTGTTTTCTTCGTTTTGTTTATATTTTAAATATTTTCATATTTTTTGTTTTTTTGTTTTTTGAATTGGGTTTGCGGTTTCGCTTATTTTTCAAATAGATATCACATAAAGTTTTGCTTCTTGTTGCTGCTAATGCGGATTTATAGGTTCGTCTGTAGGTTTCAAAACATTTTGTTTTTTGTTTTTGTTTTAGATCATACAGCTGATCTTTAGCTTCCTTTTGATACTGTTCTTGTTTGAGTTGGCGTAGTTCTTAACAAATCAAATCATATGGTCTATGATTTCAACTATAGATATATATATATATATACAATACGGAATACAACATTACATTAGTTATTTAATACTACTTGAATACATATTATATATGTGTATGTGTGTGTGTGTGTGTATTAGTGTTTGTCTGCGTCTGTGAACTGTTTCTTGCTGTAGTATTGTGCCAGTGAGTGAGTTTGTCTTTGTTTTAGTATTCAAATTTCATTTGTTGCTTTTGAATTCGGAGTCTAGGTACGTTTTTATTTACTTTTTGGTAACACTCTGGTTCATGTTTTGTTTCACTTATTTATGTTGCTTTTTGTTTTTTTTTTTGTATTTTTGTGTTGCTCCTGTCATTACGAAATGATTTGCATTCCAGTCCACAAGGAATTAACTTATATTTAATTGAATCTATATTAGTTTAAGTTTCTCTTGAGTTTCATCTAATTTGTTTGTTTTTTCTTTTTTTGTTTTAAATAAAAATTTCAAAGCGATCACAACGGTTTACTTCACAGATGCGTGTGGACACATGTCAAAGGTGTCCATAGAAATACATATTTCTTATTTTCTTTTAAAGTTTCAATAATTTTTCTCTTCTTTTCCTTATAAATCCTTTTTCTATTGCTATTTGTTTCTCTTATATTTGTTTGTTTGTTTCAATACTTTTTGCTAAGCTTCCAAATTGTATTTGTTTGATTGGCTTTTTGTTCAGTATTTCTTATATAAATTTAAATGTATTCAATAAAAATTACTCGAATCTCTTGTGTCTTTGCTGTAATTATTGTTCAGTTATGTTTAGGCTTTATATATGTGTGTGTATGTGTGATTCTCTGACTGTGTGTGTGTGTGTGTGTATATGTGTGTATGGCACATTAGGAGTTCTTAGCTGTATAAATTTGTGTCTAAGCCTTCGTTTCCTCATATTTGTTGTTAGTTCATATTCGATTTTGCTTTTTAGTTGCATAAAATTTCACAGTATTTTGGGCAGTTGCTTTTTTGTTGTTTTTGTTTTTGTTTTTTAATATGTTCAAAACAAGATCAATTTTTAACAATATTTCATGTTGCATTTGTTTGTTTAGCTTGTTCGTGGGCTTTTAACTTATTTGTTAGTTTGGACTATTTTCATTTAGTTTTGTTTCGTTTGAAAATTTTATCTAAATGCTTTATTTTGCTTTTCGGTTTCGTCTTTGCTTTTTTGTTGTTATTTTTCTAATATTGTTTCAGTACTTTTACGAAGAAATTCCTTGTATTTAATATGTATGTTTAGTTAAAATTAAAGATTGACTAACATTTTGTTTGTAAGGCAATTTGTTTGTTTTTTTTTTTTTTCTCTCTCGCTTTGCTCAGATTCACTTGTATTGTGTTTTTAATCCAAATTAAATTTAGATTTAGATTCAGTTCATTCGTTTTCGAAATTAAATTATCAATTAAATTCTTTAACTACGCCTAATTACCAATTTAATTCAAGTATGTATAACTATGTGGTACAAGTCGTTCCAAAAATTAGCGTTGTATAGAGTGAAAGTATATATGTATACTCTTAATATACTCATGTGTGTGTATGTGCCTGTTTATGTGTGTCTGTGTGTGTAGCTTAAGAGCTATTTAAGGTATGCATGTAAATATTTTATATAATTAATAAGCATCAGAGATGTACGTGAAAAAGTCGCACATGAAACAATGGATGCTGTGTCTAGTTATCTCTCGCTATATTTACGTGTCATGTGTGAGTGTGTGCGATGCGCACTTGTGTGTTAGAGAGATGCAAATTGAAAGAGATGGATGTATAGGGAGCACTAGAGAGCTTGCTGTCACATGCACGTTTATGCTCGTTATGCGGTGGACTCTTTTCCAGTGACAGGCATCAGCTGATGCAGCCTGTGCGTTTGCTACCATAGGGATTTCAATTAAATAGCTGATTATGATTCTTTGGTTACCGGATGACATCCATTGCGTTGAGTAGCACAGAAGTTGTATTAGTTTTCGTAGTCTAGAAGAATTTGCCGTGAGCAAAGGCATTGATCAAACGCGGCGTCTGCTCTGAAATGCTGCACAACTCCAATATGTTCTCGTTACGCGCACTCGAATAGCCCATGGATCCCTGCTGTTGCCGCAAACTTAATATAATGAATCTGTAAATGGGGGGAGATTTAATAGTGTCTGCGCACTGAGGAATGTGTGGAATCTAGCTGAAGGCAAAGCGACTTACTTGGCATCTTTATTTCGCTTTTCACGATACTCGTCCAGCCGCTTGCAAAGTTGTTCGGACTTATTCCTTTGATTTCCACGCGTTCCACAAGGCACCAGCACCAGGAAAACATCATACGTCTGCTTTGTATCCAGCAGCGCGTCGTCGACAACGTCTATTAGAGTCTGTTTGATTTTCACCACCTTCTGGCTCTCGCAAGTGGCCTTGGCATCATCCACCGACATGGATGAAGTCCATGGCAGCGCTTTTAGCTTTCCACTCTTGTCATACCAAATGCGCACGTTCACTTTTGGGTCGCATTTGAAGTAACCAAAGGCTAAAGCAAGTACGGCATCGATATACTTGATCGAGCGAAAACGTCCAAGAAGACATTCTAGAGGAGCAAATCAAATGTTAGCCAACAAAATTTGGTGATTTCATATCATTAAAAAGTTTACGTACTGCCCAAGTAAACCATCTCCAGATTAATTGTTATATGGAGTCGTAAGCCAAAAGGTTTGTTGAGGCCGAACGACTGTTTGTACAACTTTTGAATAATGCTGGGCGGCTTTGGTGTAAAAACTCCTTTCGTAGTCTACGGGCACAATATTCGATTTAAATGAGTTCAAATTAGCATACATTATAGACACTCACGACTTTTTGGCGACTGAATCCGCGTGCCTCCTGCAACAGCAGGCGCAGTGGCTCGACATTGGCTGCACGCAGCTGTGCGGGATCGAAGAAACGCTCAGTGTAGCACGTCTGGGCGTGGCGATTCGACCTGTTGATCTTGAGGAATGTTGGCCAACTCTGCAGCATCTGGTCGTAGGTCATTTTGGCCATGAGTAGACTAACAACTTTATGATTGGACACAATGCGACGCGGCAAGTGCTCGTAGCAAAGCGACATTTTCTGGATAAGGGGCAGGGCAGCCTCTGCGTTTGCGGTTTGGCGCAGATTAGCAATGCCTTGAATCGTCTCCTTGCAATGTGCGAGAGGCTCCAGATATTCGGGCCACTCAATCAGTTCCTTAATGGGCGCAGACAGCACGCGCAACGCGGCCAACTTCTCCTCATCGAATTTAAAGGTCATGTAGTGGCATCGCTGTAGGAGCTCACGATGCTGGGCCGGGTTGCAATCGCTCAGCGACCACATATGCAGCAACTTGTCCAGTGCCTGATGCTGATACCACTCCAGTACAGCTTTGCGCACGGTGCGACTGAAGGGCGTTTTGCGGTCCAGCAGCTTTTGCACTTGCTTCACGAACTTCATAAACAAGAACAGCTCCTGGGAAGTGCGCACAAACGCAGGGAAATATTTGCGCACCTGTGTGCGCTGCGTTTCATCCGAACACGTAGAAAGGTAAACGGCCAAGATGAGTATCGCCTCATCGTGTCGGGGCAAGTACTGATCATTGGATGCATCGAGAACGTCTCTCAGGAACTCGATCAGCTTCGATTCGTTCACTTTGTCGCACAGCTCACGCAATGCCTCAAAGTGGGCTTCCACAGTCAGATCAAAACTTGTGGGTGCATAAACTGGCTGCTTGATACTGCCCAGGTAGCAAAAACGGCGCAGTTTATCAATGGCCGAAGGAGCAACTGTTTGTCGTAGGAAAAATATGTATGTACATATATATATAAATAAAGCAAACAAACGAAAACACACTTTAATATATGTATATGCATGTGTGCAAGTGCATACACACATAGATATATACATAAGAGTTTGAGTACGTACTGTGCGACATTGTGCCCTCTTCTGCCGACTCCAACTCCCGACTGATATTCGAATTCACATCAATTTGTTGACTCGATGCAACTTCTGCTGTCAACAATAATCGTTTCTGCATACTGCTAGGGCCAGAACCACAGCCCTGGTTTATTTTGATGGCCAAAATGGTTATTGAATTGTTGACGCAGGCGTTGCAATTGATATGAACTCGTTGTCTCAACACCCCGCGATTAAAATTTATGATAACGTCAATTTTGCATTTCGAAGTATTTACATTTAATAATTTAAAATATTTATATTTTTCACGACTTGAGAGAAGTGCCAGTTATCGATGGCATCATCACTATCGCATTGGTTTCGTTAGGACGATTCTCATTACAGGTGCGCAGTAAATGCCGCCATATTCAAATTAGAAAACCTCGCACACAGCTGATTGTTGTTATTATCAAGTGCTATCGATATGTTTGTTGTTCGATTACTGTGCTCGTAGCAAATTAAATGAGATATTTAAATAAACAAGCAAATAATAGAGATAATAAAAAATGTGTCATATATTGTAAAAACAATGTTTTTTTTTTTATATAATGCGTATATCACAAATTATTGATATAAGCTATTATCACTTTGATAAGATGGTACGACATTGAAGAATCCTTGAATATGGAATAGTTATTATAGGAAAAATGTACAGCTTTTTGCAGTTATCACAAAAGTACCAACTGCTCATTCGCCAAAAATTTAATATTTGTTTAATGAAATGTTTTCATCGATATTACAGTGTTACCGATAGGTAATATCGATAAGAGTACAGCAGTAATTCAGTGTTTTGCCGGCGCGCATGTTCTCTAGTTTTACAACGTTTTGTTTTCGTTAAGCAATTCTGTGTTTCCAGCGCCTTGGCCATTGCCATGTTGCGTACACACCTCTTCCAAAATGTGCGCCTGCAGTTTCAATTAAGACGCGTTGCAGTTGGAGTTGCCATTGCACCGCCAACGGCACGTGGATGTCTGCATTATGCAATGCCAATGATCAGCAGGACAATAATGCCGGCACTGCAGCCACTTGCAAATAGCTACACGACGGCAGCAACCACACCAGTTGCACGACCCGCACCCTCGCACAAGAAGCGCGTAGCGAAGGCCAGTGACCGCGTGAACACCACCGTCAGTCTCGACGATCTGTGGACGCAGCTTGAGCAACATTATCAGCAGCACAATGTGCTCCGCCAAGAGCATTGCGAGCGTCTGCTGACACTGCTGGAGGTCGCACCCAAGGAACAGCAAAACACACTTACTGCCGAGCAGCTGCACTTTCTGCTGGGCGCCTGTGTGCCGGAGCTGTTGCCAACGCTGAGCAGCAAAGAGCGTGGGGATCTGTTTCGGCGCTTGTGGGCGCAGCTGCTGAAAGTGGAGCAACCATCCATGGCGCACTACTACACCCAGCTACAGATTCTGCACGAGAACCAGCTGCCGTTGACGGACCATCGTGCTCTGCTGGCCGAGATTGCCGCTTACAATGGCGCCGCGGATGCAAGCCTCTACAGCGCCCTGCTGGATGTGGCCGGCGCCAGCGGGAATATGCGACAGGCTACCGAGCTGCTGAGTGACATGCGTGAGCGCAGCTTTCCTCTCTCTGAGCGTAACTTTCAAGCCCTCCTTCTGGGCCATGCTCGCAGCGGAGATCTACCCGGCGTCGAGACGGTCCTTATCAGCATGCGTGCGGCGGGAATAGCGCCCAGTGCCAGCACCCAGGCCCTGTGCTTCGTCGCCTACGTGGAGAACGGCGAGCTGCCCAGGGCGCGCGACCTACTCCGGCAGCACGCGAGTAACTTCAATGCCCCGCAGCTTATACAAATGCTGCGTGCTGTGCTCGCCGCACAGCAGGTGGATGTGCAGCTGATGCAGCAGCTGGTGGCACAGCTGCCCGCAGATTATGTGAACGACATTGACGTGCCGCCGGCCATTAACAGTCTGTGCATCCAGATGCTGTACAGAGATCAGGCAGCGCTGATGATCCAACTAGTCGGAATGCTGCCGGCGCCCAAGTTCAACGATAAGCAAAACATCGATGGATATGCGGCGTACCTGCTACAGGAGCTCTTCCGTGCCCGCACACCCCTCGAGCAGATGCTGCAGTTCGCCCTCCAGCTGCGACAACACGGCCAGAACCCGCGCGCTCTGGAGGTGCTCACGGAGTTGGCGCTGCGTCGTCAACCCTCCATTGCCTTGAGCTGCCTAGAAGCACTGAATGCCGCGGGCGAGCCACTGCGTCCGCACTACTTCTGGCCCCTGCTGCTGCAGCATCACAAGCGCGAAGGCGAGAGGGGCGTGCTCCAGGTGCTGGGCGATATGCAGCGCCTGGGCGTGGAGTGCGATGAGCCGACACTGCGACAATATGTCCTAGCCAATCTCAACCAGACACTGCAGCAGCCCGCGCAAGCGCTGCAGCAGCTAGACGCTGTGGGCGTGCGCCCCTCCCAGGTGCTGGTGCACGTGCTCAGCCAACTGCTGCAGCAGCTTGACCTGCAGGCAGCGCTCGATCTGCTGCAGCGCTACCCGACACGCCTCCAACTGACAACGCTGCTTCAGCCCTTGACTACGCTGGCTGTGCATATGCGTGCGACCAAGCGCTACCAGGCCTTCGCGCAGCTGATCCAGTCGCTGCAGCAGCGATCACTGCAGCGCCAGGATGACTTCGTTGGTGCACTGCTGCTGCAGATGTGCGGGCCACAGATGCGTCTACGCCAGGAGCCGGCAACGCTGTTGCGCTTCCTGCACGAGATGCAGCGTCTGCAGCTGCACATCTCCCCGGCGGCTGCCGAGTCGCTGTTGAGCCTGGGCAGCAACAGCGACACGGACACACGTCAGTCACTGGCCAATACGCTGCAGAAGATGCGCAACGCGGAGCTGCAGCTACCAGCGGATACCGTCTTGGCCGTTGGCGGCTTCATCAAACATCCGCGCGACATGTCGCGAGAAGAGCTCGAGTGCCATCTCATCGAACTGGAGGCCAAGAAGCTGAATACGCGCGGCGTGCTGCGGCGCCTGCTGCAGCTGTGCGTGCGCGACGGCCACTTGGAACGGGCGCTCGAACTGCAGGCCAAGTGCGATGCTTTACGGGTGCAGACCAGCGCTGGGATGCTGGCCGCCATCTTTGACCTGCACATCAAGCTGAAGAACCTGCCACGTGCCCAGCAGAGCCTGCAGCGCCTACAGACCACATATCCAGGTTAATCTTGACTAGATATCAGCGCGTATTCCCAAATGTTAATCATATATATATATATATATATATATATATTTATAGGGTTCCTTGTGGATGAGCACAAGCTGATTGATTACGCAGCTCTGCTCGTGGAGAAGGGTCAGCTGGAAGAGGCCAAGGAACTGCTGCAGCAGCGCGCCGCCCAGCACAAGATCACTGGCGGCGATTATGTCATCAAGAATGTCTGGCAACTGCTCACGAATGTTGCCAAAATGGCTGCAAACAACTCTGCATCCGCGTCGTCATCCCCGACCTCCACACTGGAGATGTTCAACTTTCTACGCAAGCTGGGCTACTGCCAGACGCACAATGCTCTGCTGGGTCCTGTGCTGCGGGAGTGGCTCTATCGCGGCGATTTGGATGGCGCCGTGGCAGAGTTTCAGCGCCTGGCGAAGCGGCACAACCACACGCCGCTGCAGTTCGAGCTGCTGTCGCTGCTGGTGAAGCTGAGCAACGGCGACGAGACGGAGCTGGCGCGTTTTCCGGGCACGACCAAGGAGTCAGCACAGCAGCATCTGGTCACGGTCACGTCGACGGTCAGCCGAGTGCACGGCGCAGCCAATATGAACAGCGCCCTGCTACTGGCACTGGCTGAGTCGGGCACTGAGACGCAGCTGCGTCGGCTGATCATCAATCCCGAGTTTCGGCTCAACCACGAGCTGCTGCTGAAGAACTGCGAGCACCTGGGGCAAGAGGGCGCCGTAAGCACTCTCCTCCGTCTGGCTCGAGGTGTCCGAGGCCTGCAACGCACCATTGACGAGCAGCGCATCTACGACATGCTACTCTCCCAGTTCACCAAGACCAACAACTACGAAGGCGCCCTCGATCTCTACGAGCGCCTGGAGGCCGACGACGAGCTGAAGGTCTCCCAGGAGTTCATTCGTAATCTGGTCAAGCTGCTGCAGCTGAATAATATAGAGATTCCCAGTAGCATTGCCATGCGTGCTCAGATTAGATAGGATCACATTTTTATATAGATACACTTAAAATCTTCATGCTGTTATTGTTAATATATTTTTTTCTAATAACATAAGTAAATAAATAAAATGTATATTTTAAGTACATATTAACAAAATATGTATATTCGTGTGTGCATATTCAAATAATTGAACTGCCCGCGCACGAATATTGTTAATCGTTAATCGATATTGGAATATGCCATCACGTATGTAAATGCTGGATAAGTACCGTTTGTTGATTTATGGAATTTTAATGTGTGTGCGTGTGAGTGCCTTCCAGATTATAAAACACATCATCTATGTTCACTCGATCAAGTCAATTTGATATGTCTTACTTTGTATCAAACAATGACAACCATTCGGAGTTTAAGTGGATTCAACAGACGTCTGGAAGCTGCAGAGCATAAGCTAATTGTCCTGGAGTTTTATGCTACCTGGTCCGCCCCATGCAAAGACATCGATGAGGCGGTTAAAGCACTCGCCCGCCAAAATGTAGACAAGGCGGAAGTCATACAAATAAATGTTGACAAATTTGAGTACTTGGTGGACACATACAGGGTGCGCAGCAAGCCAACCTTTGTGTTCATCAAGAACAAGCGGAATATATACCGCGTCATCGGCGCCGACGAGGAGAAACTGAAGCACACGTTATTCGAGCTCTGCAAATGAATGGGACACCTTACGACGCTGGCGTCGCAGCAACCTTTTATTATGTGTATGTCTCCGTATGTATGTATGTATGTTTATTGTAACTGTATAACATTTAAGTACCAACCTGATATAGTTTAGTGCAGACAATAGTAACTTTGAAAAGTTGTGACTCGACTAAATATTAATAAACAAATGATATATGCATTATTTATTGAGATATCTACTTACGTATGCCTACATACATATGTACATACATATGTATATACATATGCACATTTTTAAAAATATATATATGTATATGCTCTTAAGGGCTTCTTAGTTTAGTTTATAGAATAACACATGTGTTCTATTGCAGATCAGAAAAATTATTAAGTCTTTGGGCTGCTAAAAGTCTGATAAATGCGACCGAAACAGATTTTTTAATTGTAAATTAAATGTGCGCGGTAGTTTTGCGGCGATTTTATCGATAGAGCAGTAGTGGTTTTATTATCGATTTGCCTATCGTTCACTAGTGCAGCACTAATTCAGTGCTTAACCGGCGCGCATATTCTATCGCAATATGATTTGTTCTTTTCATAGATTGAGTGTTAGAGAACATTGCTTTTCTCTTTTTCTACAATGTACACTCATTGTTTTCGTTGCAATGGGCTAGAGCTAGAGCTACCGTTCCAGCTCCAATGGACCGTAAGCTGAAATGGAAACCATTAGAAGAGCAGGATAATCTGTGAAGGCAATCGGAGCAGGAGCTGGCCAATAGAGCGAGGTCCACGAAATGCTGCCGTCACAACACTTTAAAGCGCCTTCATGCCGTCGAGGAGCTGAAGTCTGGAATTCATAAGTAATCATATATGCTATATATGCTTAGATGAGAATCGTGAAGATACTATTTGAGTTGCTCTGCTAACAACTGTATTCCTGTTCATTGTAGCCACTAACTGCCTCATGATGTGCCGGGATATCCATGATATTAGAATTTTTATTAACAACGATCGATGCACATGTGTCGGAGCTCAACCTATGCAATTAACTTTTGACTAACTTCGCCTGCTGCTAGAAGAAGGCCACGATCGACATGGCTGTGTTGAGCTCGGATTTAATACGGGTCTAGTCTAAGCTAGTCTAATTAGCTATCTGAACAGTGCTACATAACTTGGCGCCTACTGCGGTTATTTCTAGCTAACACAAATGTACATCATATTTTTCGTAGTCTCAAAGTGTGCTGCGCTTCTAGTTTCTGTTAGCATATAAGTAATCATCGACCAGGCCTTGCATCCATTTAATATCTCAGTTCGTATGTCACAACACACAGCAATTTAAAATACGTAGATGTATAAGTACGTAGACACACTATTTATATCAAACGTACTAATTTAGAAACCATTTAGGGAAGCACTTTGTAGAGATTAAGTTTTAGTGGAATTGGATATCCGCCGTGTCATCGTACAAGTAACAACAACATTATGGACTGTCAGGACAAAGGCCCTGCAGAGGAGCCTCCCAGAGCTGGGGAGAAGACCACAGGCATTACCACATCTATGACGACTGAATCGGCATCGATCGAAGAACTCTTTGAAATCATACGCGAAGCCCCCATTGGGGACAGACACGAGCCGACAGCTAGTGTCAGTGAGCAAACCATTACCATGCGTGAAAGCGAGGAGCCAACGGCAAGCTCCTCTCTCACCCATCCCTCGGTCGATGCCCCAA